AGCAGGGAGCCCGATGTGGGACTCTATCCAGGGACTCCAGGATCATGACCTGAGCCGAAGGCAGTCGCTTAACCAACTGAGCCACCCAGGCGCCCACTTTTAGTTATTTTTTGATTCCATTAATAATAAAGGCCTACTCTATGCCAGATCTCTCCTACTGGGGATACTAGAATTAACATGGCAAATATTATCCCTACCTTTGTAGATCTTACAGTAATGATGATGATGATGACTTGCTGGGCACAAGTATAGTGAGGTTTAAAAGAAAAAGTATAGGATATTATGGGAGCCTGTTGCAAAGGGAAGCCTAAGGGAATGGCATCTACCTTTATTTTAATTGTATATAAGGGAGCAGTTGATAGAGGTTGATACATCTTTAGTTTAAGTGGAAAATAATTATTTAAAAATCTTACATGTTTATTCTTTTTTTTTTTTAAGAAATTATGTGCCCAGTGTGGGGCTCGAACTCAGGACTCTGAGATCAAGAGCCACATGTTTCATCGACTGAGCCAGCCAGGCTCCCCAATTTTAATATTTTTTAATTAATAAAACTTTTAAGTGACTCAATTGGTAGAGCATGTGACTCTTGATCTCAGTGTTGTGAGTTCAAGCCTCATGTTGGGTGTAGAGATTACTTTTTTTAAAAAGATTGATTGATTTATTTATTTTTAGAGCGGGAGCACAAGCGGGAGGGGCAGAGGGAGAGGGAGAGAATCTTAAGCAGGTTCCGCGCCCCAGCATGGGGCTCGATCTCACCACCCTGAGATCACGATCTGAGCTGAAACCAAGAGTTGGTCTCCTAAACCACTGTGTCACCCAGGCGCCCCTAGAAATTACTTAAAATTTTTTTTAAATGTTAAAAATTTGAAAATTGGTAAGTTCTATGAAATAGTGATTTTATTAGAAAGACTAATATATAATTCTACAAAAATATTTTTTAAGTTGATCTATGTTCATTGAAAAAATTCAGACTTTACAGAAATATACAAAAGAAAGCAGAAGTTCACCTTAACTTTTAACACTTCCTAATAACAACTATTAATAGTTTAGTATATATTACATTGAGTTTTTTTAGGTATGTACTAATATATTATTATTCAAAAAAACTTTACATTGAATCTTTTTGAAATAACACAACATAGTGGAAAAAGCATTAGACTTGTAGGCAGACCACTTGTTCAGCAAGTGTACAGTTTGGCAAATCATATACACTGGCAAAATACAAGTTTCTTAAAATCTCAAATGCTCATTCTTCAGTAGCTTAATGATTACTAATACCTGCCCATCCTATGTTATGAAGATCAATGAAATGTTTGAGTGTTATGCAAATATAAGGTATTTTTATTTCTAAAATGTCCTAACACGTGAAATGTTAAAAATAAAATATGAGAAAACAAGAAGTTACAACCTAAAGCAACATATTACTTCTAGGAACAAATTACTTTAAATACATAGGAAGTAAAAGGCACTAATTTCAGTCTCCTTGTGGTTTTTACATTTTGTATTATTTAGACAGTGGTAGTCACAAGACACGATTTCAGGTACATGGAGCTCTGGTTACTTTAGTAAGGATTTGGGATAGCCCATAAATCGGTTACATTTAAGGGACAACTGCAATATTGGTGTGGTATCTAGGATGACCATATTTCATTTCACTTTTTAAACCCAACGTTTGGTCTAAAGAGTCACAAAAATAGAGCAGCAGATTCATAGGGTTTTCAAATCACAAATGAAGAAACTGAGCAAGTGTTGATGGAATAATGTATAATGGGACCAGATACGCTTTTAGAAGCAGCCATGGTGCCAAGTCTGTCTAAAACATCATAGGTTAGAGATTTATATCTTGGAACCTAAAATGAATAGCATGTGTTTTGGAGAAATAAGAGTTAAGCGTACACTGTGAACTAGACATAGGATTTGAAATGAAGGAGAAACACTTACATAGCATAGGCACTATGCTAACGTGGAAAATATTCTTGAGTTCCTGTTCCCTCTTTATTTGAAATGATGATACAAATCCAATCCAAATATTTTATAGAAAAATAATGGTATAAGTCTGGAAATAGAAATCAATATATTGTATTTCAGCATGAGGAAAAGAATTTACATGTGATATTCATTTACTTTTAGGATTCAAACGGAAAGAAATGACTATGGCAGTGAAACAGACTTATATGGACTTGTGTCTAATATTTTGGAAGAACAAGATAAGTCACAGCCATATTTTACTGAGGGGTTAGTATATTATATAAGCCATATGGTATATAGTAAGCTTTTAAATTCACATATACTAGATTACTATATTTTTACTTAATAAAGGATCATCTGATAATAGACATCTTAATTCACATGTTTGTATCTAACAGCCTTGATTTTGATGAGGTACTTACCATACAGTGGAAGTTTCATACTGAAATTTAATTTACTGTTAAGAACTTTCATTTGGAAAATTATTCTTGCATAATTCAGAGCTATTTCCCTCGAGTTTATGAGCTAAAGTTTGGCTTAAAGAGTATAAATTCCACAGAGCTTTTATAGATATATCCCAAAGAATAAAACTATCATTACTGCTATGCAGAAATATGTATGGACTTTATTCATATGGTAAAAATTTTTAAAATACACTTTGATTGTTTTGGGGGGTGTGGAAGCCATATTACCCAAATGCCCTATTTCATAGATAGGGAAATATGCAGCACACATGTAACCAATTAAAATATTTTAATTTCAGTAATAGTTTCAGCAAAGTACATCTTTTTCATTTAAAAAAATTGCAGTCAACAACATTTTTGTATTATATAATAACCTAATTAAAGGAAAAACTTACTTTGTTCTCTGCTTATTATAGATAAATAATTGATGCAAGATCATGCAGTCACCAGCCTCAGGCCTTAGTTAATGCCTCTTGGGAAAGTATACTGTAGACATATTAAGATTAAAATGAATATTTATGTAGCATGTGACACATTTCAAGTGATAGAAAATTATTTGGATGTAATAGTTGTTTATAAGTCAAAATTAGAAAGGATTAGATAAATGATGGGGCAGTGAGGTGATATAAATGTTTTGAAAACCTGTCCTACCTTCTCCACTAAGGAAATAAAGTCATTTAAAAGCTAAGTTGTAATTAAATATATTTACTTGTTCTAGGACCTGCTCCTCCAATTTAAAGTCAGTTTGGCCAATGAACACAAGCAGATTTGCAGATCACCATGACCTCTTAACAGAAACCAAAAGGCCAATAGATACAGCCATCTCTCAGCAAGCTTTTTATAGTGGTGAATCTGTGTCAGCAGTGGAAAAGCAATACCTGCATAATAGTAATCTAACACCACAACAAAAAATAGATGAACTTTATCATGGATTTACTGGTTTAGACCTTGAAGAACAATGGATGTACCCCTCACGAAGTGATCATTCTAACTGTTACAATATCCAGACAAATGATACAGCTAAGACAACATTCCAAGATTATCCATTTATCAAAAACTGTTTTACATCACAAACTGGTCTGTCTGACATCATGAAAGAATCAGGAGTTGATACTTACCTTTATGGAAGAGAGAAAATATGTACTAAAGGTCTTGAAGCACCATTACAGCAGAAAAGGGCAGAGATGTTTCTTTCTCAATTTAATAGATACAATGAAAATGCAGATTATTGTAGATACCCAGAATATGTTCATCCTAATAAGGCTAAGCTTAATAAGTGTTCGAATTTTAGTGTCCAGGATAGTAAAAAATTAGCCAATGGCACACCTGAAACACCAACTGTAGAAGCAGACACCTACACAAAGTTATTTCAGGTTAAACCAGCAAATCAGAAAAAAATGGAGGAGACAATACCTGACCAGCAGAATTTCACATTTCCAAAAACCACACCACATCTGACAGAAAAGCAGTTTGCAAAGGAAGCAGCATTCACTGCTGATTTTGGCTTAAAATCAGAATTTGGACTGAAACCTCACACAGCTTGTCCACCTAATAATGATTTTGCTAATGTCAAAGAAAAACAACAGTTTACTAAACCTGAGCCCCCAAATTCTGAGTATTTTAAATCTGTGAATTTATTATCAAACTCAGCAACATCTTCAGGAGGTATCAACTTAAACAGACCAACTTGGATGAATGTCCAAACAAAAAATAACACTCCTATTCCTTATCGGAATCAAGGTAACTTGATGAAATTAAATAGTCACTTAAGTGTAGCTTCAAAAGGTTCTAGCCACTCTTCAGATTTCCCCCAACTGTCATCCACAAATTTAACCCCAAATAGCAGTTTATTTCAGAAGTATTGCCAAGAAAACCCTTCAGCATTTTCTAGTTTTGATTTCAGTTACAATGGTGCAGAAAGAATTCAATCTGTCAATCACATGGAAGGACTGACAAAGACTGGAGAAGAAAATCTCTTTGAATCAGTTACTGATAAAAAAATAAAGCAACCAAATGGATTTTGTGATAACTATTCAGCTCAGCAGTATGGGATCATTGAAAATATAAACAAACATAATTTTCAAGCTAAGCCTCAGAGTGGACATTATGATCCTGAGGAAGGTCCAAAGCACTTAGATGGCTTATCTCAAAATACGTATCAAGATCTGTTGGAGTCACAGGGTCATTTTAATAGCCACAGACAGGGAAGTGGAGACAACAATATTAATAGCCGTGTGAATCGCGCACAGGCGTCATGCTTTTCTAATAATTATATGATGGGAGATTTAAGGCATAATCAGAGTTTTCAACCACTTGGTTCAAATGGGTTTCCCCTAAGATCCACTCACCCATTTGGCCATTCAGTTGTTCCACTGTTGGATTCTTATGATTTGTTTTCTTATGATGACTTAAGCCATTTATACCCTTATTTTAATGATATGATGTATGGTGATAATTCCTTTTCTGGTTTCGTGCCAACTTTTGGATTTCAAAGACCAATTAAAACCCGTAGTGGACCAGCCAGTGAACTTCATATTCGACTAGAAGAGTGCTATGAACAATGGAGAGCATTAGAAAAGGAGAGAAAAAAGGTAACACAAAGCTATCCATTTAGGAGTAACTTAGGATGTTCCCTCTGCCTCTCTTCATTTTGTTTGTTAGAGTAGTTTGAGTGTTATTTCTAAGCTGAATTCTATAATGTACAGTATTTGTTAAGTATTTGACTATAAGGAGTTAATTAGATGACTTAAGCTTCAAGCTTAAAAAAAATCATTATTTATGTAAAGTTTATTTCGCCTATGAAGACTTTTTCCTTAATGGGTTAAAAGTTTACTTCTTTTGGGGTGCCTGCCTGGCTCAGTTGGAAGAGTATGTGACTCTTGATCTCAGGGTTATGAGTTTGAGCCTCAAGTTGGGTGTAGAGACTACTTAATAAAATCCTTTTTGGGGCACCTGGGGGGCTCAGTTGGTTAAGTGGCTGCCTTCGGCTCGGGTGATGATCCTGGAGTCTCAGGATCGAGTCCTGCATCGGGCTCCCTTCTCAGTGGGAAGTCTGCCTCTCTCTCTGACCTTACCCCATCTCATGCACTCTCTCTCTCACTCACTCTCTCAAATAAGTGAATAAAATCTTTAAAAAATAATAAATAAAATCCTTTTTAAAATTTTTTTAAAGATTTTATTTATTTACTTGAGAGAGAGAGAGTGTACAAGCAGGGGGAACAGCAGGCAGAGGGAGAAGCAGACTCCGCACTGAGCAGGAAGCCCGATGAGGGACTCGATCCCAGGACCCCGAGATCACGACCTGAGCTGAGGGCAGACGCTTAACTGACCGGGCCACCCAGGCGTCCCAAAATACTTTTTTTTTTTTAAAAAAGTTCTTTTAATTAAATATTAAGCTGTTGGAGCCTTTGGGTATTTTATATGCATTAAATATGATAGAAAAATATGGTGGTATTGTGGTTTGTATTTGTTGCTTTTTGAAACTGAAACAATTTTAAAGTTGTGATTTTCAGTTTATTTCTTAGGCCTAGGAGAAATGTTATTCAGTATTGAATCATATTTAGAAAGTTCAGCATCTAAAAGTTTTACATAATTTTTTACAGACTGAATTGGCCCTGGCCAAGAATTACCCAGGAAAAAAAGTATCCAGTACTAACAACACCCCAATTCCAAGGCTGACCTCCAACCCATCTCGAGTTGATCGCTTAATTGTGGATGAACTTCGGGAACAAGCCAGAGTAAGCTGTAAAAACACCCAATAATGGATTTTTTAATTGTTTGATAAAATTTTAAAACAAGTCAGAGTTCTGAAGGATTTTTAAATCACATTTATGCATAACTCTCTGAAATATATTCTTTTCCATGTTTGGTCCTAGAACTATGATTAATAATTAGGGAAGGGGAAATAGCACTCCCTTAATGATTTAAAAAGTAGGTTTAGTAACTTAAATGGTTCCTCTTTAAGAAACCCAAGTTAACGAAGAGCTAATCCTCAATAGAAAGAATTTTAAAGCAAAAATAATTTTGAATATTATTTATAAAGAAAGTCCCATTTCTTAGACACAAACATTTGTTTTCTAGCTTGATGAGCAAGCTGTGTTTGCATTATACAAAATGGTAAATCAACAGGTAATTACTGTATTTCATTTTCTTAACCCTGTACTCTTGAGTTATTCAACAAACATTAAATATATCCAGCAATGTATTAAATACTGAAGAATATAGGTATGCATAATTTTGTAAAATACTCTTGTTTTAGAAAATTAGTATATCACTTCAAATATAAAGAATCCTGATGTTAGGTCACTTTGTAATTTAACAACTGATTATTCCTCTTATTTCCTTTGTAATTTCAGAATTTTCTAGAATTGAATAGAGCAGGGTAAAATTTCTTTTTTTTTTTAAGATTTTATTTATTTGAGAGAGAGAGAATGAGAGAGAGCACATGAGAGGAGGGGGGAGGGTCAGAGGGAGAAGCAGACTCCCTGCCGAGCAGGGAGCCCGATACGGGACTCGATCCAGGGACTCCAGGATCATGACCTGAGCCAAAGGCAGTCGCTTAACCAACTGAGCCACCCAGGCGCCCCAAAATTTCTCTTTTTTGACCTTTCTCTCTTAAAAACTTATGCTGTTTTCCAAATAAAATATGATACAAGATTCTTGGGAGGGGCGCCTGGCTGGCTCAGTCAGAGGAGCGTTTGACTCTTGATCTCAGAGTTGTGGGTTCGAGCCCCATGTTGAGCGTAGAGATTACTTAAAAAAATAAACTGAAAAAAAAAATATTCCTGGGAAAAAGCATGCAGTAAAGACAGCTTGCTTCTGTGATTGAATAAAAGCCATTTTAGGAATTAGAAAAATCAACATAGCGGAGTGTATTTTATTGAACATCAGTTTCTTGTACCTTGCTGTCTTTAAAATATAGATATGAACTACTTCAGTGGAAAAAGATTGATTTTGCCTAGCTTTCAGTTGGTCAGTTGAAATTCTATATCAAGGGCGCCTGGGTGGCTCAGTTGGTTAAGCGACTGCCTTCAGCTCAGGTCATGATCCTGGAGTCCCGGGATCGAGTCCCACATCGGGCTC